TGCTAGGGGTGCACAAGGGGGGGAGGCTCCATCTATTTTGATCTTTACACCAGCCGGGGTATCGACATTGTTGTGATTTGCTTCCAATCTGCTGTTGCATTATCTCTTTTCTTTTCCACCTCCTCAATTTTTCCCTATTCACCGCTTGAACATGAATTACAATTTACTGTATTATTATATTATAATGGTTCTTCTTTAGTCTGCCATCACGCTCATCAGTCTGGACATCATCATTTCATTAGACTGTCAGCTCGGACATGTTCCGCAAGCCATGTTCCGCTCGTCCCACTGCCACTCTACGACTTCGTCGTACTGCAACTTGGCTGCCTTGAAGTTCTTCCCTTCATCGAATGCCATTCTAGTTCTGTATTGGCCTTCCTCAAATGGTGCACCTCTGCCATACCACTGGCAGTACAGCGGACTCCAGTGCGTAGAGAACAGACTCCGTCAGGAATGAGAAATAAACTTGAGAGGAAATATAGTGACCCTTATTTCAAAAAAAAAAAAAAAAAAAAAAAAAAAAAGTGACCCCCCTCCTTGCCTGTTAGATGAACAGGAAGAGAAGGAAATGCAGAGACACGACGAAGAGAGGAAATTCAATCTGATCTGAAGTGAAGATGGGACGAAAAAAAGAGAGATGTGAGCACAAGAGGAGAAGAGGATGAAGGAGAAGCACGATGGGGAAAGACTTCGAACTCAACCTCGATTCCTCGACAGAATCGGGGACTCGAGGTGATGATGGAGGCAAACACATCGCCACACGCTCTGTGAGTCAATCAATTCTCAGCAAGACTTGTCAACGAAGACCGTGTCAAGGTCCGCCCGTTGGTTGGACTTGATTCTTCTTCTTTTTTTTTTTCTTTTTTCTTTTTTTTACTTCCAGGCAGGCGAAGAGTTGGTAACGAAGAAGAGAAGAGAAGAGAAGAGAAGAGAAGAGAAGAGAAGAGAAGAGAAACAGAAGAGAAGAGAAGAGAAACACAAGAGAAGAGCGTATCAAGGTCTGTGGAGTTGTGAACCTATTCTAGGGCAAGGAGTTAGTGACGCAGAACATGTGAGCACTGTGATGAATCGTGGCCCGTACCGAGCTCAAGATTAGATTGTACCTTTTGTACAGATTGGCTATGGGGGCAAAACTTCCTGACGCGAAGTTCTCTTCGCGGATCATCTGACCGACCAGATGCAGGGTCCGTCTCTGGATGGGCATGCGTTGGGATGCAATGTGGACTCGTCCTTGTAGTTCTTGGGATTTTGTCCGCGGCGCAGTCGGGACACAGCCATGCGAAGAAGCACATGGGCAGGTCGATTTTTTAATGCAAACTTGCGCATATTAGGCCCATTGCACGCGCATAGGCCCCAGTTTGTTTTCCGGGTTGTTTGTGGAGGGATTCCCGGCCTCCGTGGTTGTTTTGATAATAAAGGTGTTTCTTTCTGTAAAAATAATAATTAAAAAAAAAAAAAAAAAATCTTCTTTTTTTTGGGCAGTTCGATTTTTTTTTTTTTTTTTTTTTTTTTTTKCMGTTBGAATTTTWGTTAGCTTYTTCTTTAAATTGAAAATTAAAACAGCTAGTATATTAGGCCCATTGCACGCGCATAGGCCCCCTTTTGAGAATAAAAATTTTAAGGGCCTAATATGCGCAAGTTAGCTTCTTTAAATTAAATTTCTTCTTATGTCGTTCTCAATTTTCGTTGTTGTTTTTTTTTAATGCAAACTGCTATGCGGGCTATGCGGCCTATGCGCGCGTGCAATGGGCAGTAGCTGTTCCAATTTGCATGCACACAAGCCAGCTTCCTGCTTGCTCTGTTCGCACTGACTTCTTCCTTCCTCCTGGCAGTGCTCTCTTCTTCTTCTCTTGCAAGCCCTCTTTCTTGTCTTCCCTTCGCAGGTGATTGCCCGCATTCACGTCGGCCAGATCAAAAAAAAAAAAAAAAAAAAAAAAAAAAGCTACTGGGACGGACGGTGTCACCGCATGTAGCTTCGCCGATCACCTCGAACTTAGCGAAAATTTTGATCTTCCCACCATCACACCTCTCTTTCGAAAACTTCCATTTTCCCCTCCCTCCTACAAGTCCCTCTGCCTTGTCTATATGTTTACCCAGTATCTGCGCTGACACACTGCCGCCTTCCGTACTATAACTTTGCACAGCCCGTTCCTCCTCTCTTCCTCTTTGATATCGGCTGCAATACTGCACGAGTTATGTGCGCGAGTCCTGGTGCTGAACAGGCTCGATGTGACCGACGGACGTTCCTCTCTTCCTCTCTTCCTCTCTTCCTCTCTTTCTCTTTGATGTCGGCTGCAATAGTGCACATCGAGTTATGTGCGTGAGCCCTGGTCCTGAACAGGCTCTGTCTTCCCTCTCTCTTCCCTCTCTCTCTCTTCCTCTTTGATGTCGGCTGCAATAGTGCACGAGTTATGTGCGCGAGTGCTGGTGCTGAACTGTCTGAACAGGCTCGATGTGACCGACGGACTGGGCAGAGTGACAACGTGAGGTGATCTACTTGCCCGGTAGTAGGATAGGTAGGTTGGAATTGGGCGGGACTTAGCGCATCTGACTCATTGATGATCGCGTTGCTGGTGTCATTGTCATTTGCGGGGAGTGTGCAGAGATCTTTCATGAGCTAATTGTTGCGGTCTTTTCTCCATCGCTGCTTCTCCTGCTTGTCTTCTCCATCGCTGCTTATCCTTTTTTTTTTTTTTTTTTTTTTTTGTAAACAACACCCTCCAGTGCTAGTGGTGCTGCTAAGAGCAGACACCCCTAGCACCAATGGGGGGGCGCTCCATCTATTGATGGGTTTCCTGGTTGTCGAAGTCAGTGCACGCTAGTTTGTCTGGTGCATGGCCTTGGTTGCGAGCGTAGGAATGCCCTTGCAAAATTTAATGGGGTCAACAAAAGGCCTTCAAGTTGGTTGCGACCCCATTAAATAAAATTTTGCAAATGGCCTTGGAATGCCCGTGGCATTGGCGAACGGGATCGCTCAAGCATAGACTTGTCTGGACATGTCCGCAAGTCTATGGTTGAGCGATCCCATTTGCAAAATTTAATGGGGTCAACAAAAGGAGGGGAAGGTTGTTTACGTACTAGATGAGATCAAACCATTATCATGCATTGAGTGATTAAATAATATTATCTCCTTGGCTTCCTCCTTTTCTCATTTTGTTGAGTACGACCCGTACGGGTGCTCTAGTGCTAGGTAGTTTGATCCTGGGCCCAGAACACAGCGCGATCGATGGACACCGTGTACAGTGTCGTCTTTCCCTTCAATGAATCGTCGCACAGGCTCGCACAGGCTCGCACAGGCACCGTGACATGCCTGTGTTCGAACTTCACGCAATGGCAGTCTTCTTGAGTTTTGCCGGCTGCAAACGAAGATGCCGTCTACTGCTATGTGGAGAGGTATGGAGTGCTCTATTGCGCAAAGACGGAGCTCACCTACATAACCCACCACCCAAGGTAGGTCGGCCACCCTACCTTGGTCTGCAACGCACGCCACGTGGAACCGCCACTTCGACTGTCCGAGATGTGTATTTCTTTTTTTTATTGATCAGAACAGATACGACACTTGATCTTAG